ATCACCAAACTTGAAAAAAGAGAACAAGGAGTGTCTTATAAAAGTTGAAACGTTAGAAAGAGAGGTCGAAGTATATAAACAAAAAATCGAAAAAGGTCAAGAAGATTTAAAAATTGTTGAAAATGCAGAATCACAACAATCACACAACAAAGAAAATGTGATTAAAAATGAGAAAATAAAAATCACTCCACTTGAAGTACCAATGGCCATCTTCCACTTTGGCGGAACGTTCACACATATAATAAACGAAACCCCCATAGAAATTGCAATAGAAGCCGGCACTGCTGAGCCGCATACAATTATATATGAGAAAGATGGAGTTTCACATACATTCCAAATAATTTCGCAAAAGGTCGAAGGCACAGAGAAACGTGGATTCGACTTGATAATAACCGTGTGGGTAGACAAACAGTTTGTTGGACAGTCAGTGACTATATTTATCAACATAGATATTTTAAACGAGAATTACAATGTCCCCGTTGTTGTGCCTGATACACAGACTTCATACAATTTGGGAGAGTTGGGATTCTTTAATAAAGAAACACAGAAAAGAGGAAACTTGGTGATGATCTTAAAAATCGTTTAATTGTGTTGAATTATATTGAAAGTGGTGCTTCGCAGTTTGTGAACTGAAGTTTTTTTCTATTTTTTTTTCAAACTGAAAAAAATCACATTTAAGAACTTGATAATTTTTAATAGCTTTATCTCCACTTTTGGGATTAATTTATTCAAACAAAATTATTCAAAAACAAAATCATAAACTGTATAACTGAATCAAGTTTGAAAAAAATAAATAAAAAAACCTAAAACTTTGATTTTTTTGTTTTTACAAAAATTCAAATTATGATCAAAAATGCATTTTAGTCAAATTTTGTAAAAATAGTTATTAAAGTAAACTGTCATAAAAACAAATATTATTAATCCTAAATAAATGGTGTTTTCAATTATTTACACAACAAATAATTGAAATAAAATAAATAACAACAAAGTTATTAACACATTAAAACGTTTAAATAAATTAATAACGAACATACATAATTTTTAATATACATGTATAGTTAAATATCATTTCAAGTTATATGATATTAATGACATTGTTATTTTCAAATATTAATTGAAACTAATGTGTTATTGAATACTGTTATACAAAACCATATTTTAATATGGTTTTGAATATATATTTAAATGGTGAATAAATGATGACGTGGGTATTTTCGAATAAAAAAATTGAGACGCCTGTATATCACATGTCTATATAATATATAAATTGTCTGGTTTTAATTGAATTCCAATAATTATTTAATTGAACTTTTTATTTAATTAATTAATGTTTTTAAACATTTGAATAATGTATAAATATTTTAATTTATAAATTGTAATTTAAAAATGATTTTTCATTGTAATATCTTATCGCCTGAAAAGGTAAATGATTTTTAAATTAATAATTTGTAAAAATCGGTTACAAAAAGAATTTTGAAATATTAAAACAATAAACAACTGTGAATATCAGAATGTCTCAACTAACTGGTTATCACATTATGATAGTCTCGAAGTACTTCGCAACTATCATAGACTTTATTAACTTGAAGTTGGTTTGCAAGAAGTTTGGTGGTAATATGGAGAAGTTTCATTTTAACCCAATTCCGTTAAATTTCAAAACGCT